GTCTTTCTTTTATATATTGCGTTATGAGGTTTTGTGAAAAATATATGCGTAATGGAAAAAATAGATATCATTTTCGGATTCAGCGTACAGGAATTACTGTAGAACATATAAAAATTTCAAAACAATAAAACCATCTCAGGCCTGTGAATTATTAAAGAACTCCTAACCAGTTTAGCTTATCCTTTATTTCTATGTTCACAAATTAGAGAAATTACGTGTATATTTTCTAGTAGAAAGCTTGAGAATGAAAACCAGGAAATAAAAAGGCATGGTTTTGGCACTCAGCCTATCAGCCACGAGGACGTGTAATTCAGACATATGTTTGTGTTGTATAAAAAAATAGAGACGTGTTTTTGTGTGCACGAATGAGTTTAGTTGTGTTGGTTCTACAAGAAACTAGGTTTACTTGAACTTGTCTTTGATATCTGCAGGCGGAACAGAAATTCCAAAAAACTTATACACATATAGTTGACATATCGCATGCACATGGGTAAATTCTGTTTTTACTTGCTGTTATATTGGCATAAGGCAGTTTATTATTTACAAATTTATAGGACATAACAGAATGCTAATCAGTGACTTTGGAGACAGCAGATTACTGAAGGCTCTTATGGCACTGAGTAAATAATGTTGTAGGAAGATTGCTTTAATGTGTATATCGTTATCAGTATCCCATATGAATACTGTAGTGTTGGCGTGAAAAGCTTCATAATTCACAAATCTCTGTGAACCACATGCATTATAGCCACAGAAGCTCTAAAATTAAGATAGTCTGTAAATGAAATTGTAGTAACGCATCAATTCTATAATTCACAAGTTACTGTTTATGTTATAACGAGATCAAAACAATTCACTATTCTCAGCATACGGCGAATATTACAGCAAGGGTAAAACAGTTTTATAGGTTTTGAAGGTCCCGTATATTACAGCAATGATAAAGCAGTTTTATAGGTCTTGAAGGTCCCGTATATTATAGCAGTGATAAAGCAGTTATATCTTATAAAACTGTTGTGTATATTACGTCATGAGTAAGGTAGTTCTATGTTTGAAATACTTAAAAGAACAACAAAGACCAAGACAGTAGAGAAGGCCAATAACAACGACAGATTAACCAAGATATATGATTAGTATGACAAGCCAGTTTAAAACTTCAAAGGCAACGGAATCAACTTTGAAGGATATTTCAAGATACATAACGTTCATACATAACAGACATAAAATGATAGCATAGCTGTTTCCTCGTTTCTTGCATTCCTATACCAGAATAACAAAGCGATTTTTTTTTCGGACAACTAATAAATCAATATGTGTTAATGACAAATCAAAGAGGAGAAGCTTTCAGCATTTTTGTTGCTGTGAGGCATAATTTAGCAGGAATTCTGATTAAAGAAGCTAATAATGAGTATATTAGTATTAAACTATAAAAGTAACACCCACATGAAAAGTTTTATGTGACTTAAAAAAATCATCAAAGCAAGTTACCCACGTAGTTCATAACTAAAGCTTAATCCATTAAATAATGCAGCTAATTTATAACCCTGGTCTAACTATAGTGTTGCAAAACAAACCTTATTTTAGGAACTATGTTTCATGAAAGGTATATTTCAAAAGTGTTTACCAATTGTGCACTGTTGTATAAATGAGGGGTGATAGGTGGTTTTCACATACATCTAAAAACGTTTGTTTGCAATATTGTTTAATTATGACAGATACTTTTATGAACTCATGTGTTGAATCTTCGTTTAGTATTGTTATGTAAGTGTGAGGTGATTACGTGGGCACTTTATACATATAATTCGTAGTATCATCACATAATAAAAACAAGATAATATTCTAGCGCTTATGTTCTTTTAGGGTTATAGCTTACAGAAGCGTGTATACAGTTTTCAAGCCAAGTCTTAACATCATAGGTAACTCATAGCTCAGCAACAAACGCGCATATAAATCTCGACAAAATCCACGAAGTGTTCTAATAACAGGAGTCATAAAAGCGATAGCAGTGAACACTAATTACACACATAACTTATAGCTTCCTTCCAACCAATAAACCGGCCGTGTGACCGACAAATCCATTTACATTACGTAACGGAACTTCTGAGAGAGAGACAGAGAAACGTCAGTCATATAAAGTCTCAGACTCTCAGCTTTATAATGGATGGGAAAAAGACAGAAACGTCAATCTCACAAAGTCCCGGACTCTTAACTTTAGAAAGGATGTGTCAAAAGTAAACCCATGATATAGTGTTTCTAACGCAAGGAAACTATTGCTAATTTTAGTCACGTGACTCCCATTAGCGCTGACAATATGAATCTAGTATCTGATACTTGTTTTAATATTAAAGATTTTGTTTTGTTTTGAATTTCGCGCAAAGCTACAC